CCTCCCCCGCCCTGGTTGGGAGCGTGCATGCGCCAGCTGCCCCACCCCCCTGCCGCCCTGCTGCTCGACTGCCTACCCTAGAACAACCGCAACCCTCCTTCCAACAATGGATGCTGAGAGCCTTGCACACGGCTGCCAGCCCCCTCCCGCAGCCGCTGACCATCCCCTATGCATCAGCCGGTCATCCCCAGACAGTCAAAGCGATACCGGCACCCCGCGACCCCGCTCACGCAGGAACGCAAACACCGGCTGCTGCTGCGGGACGCCTCCGCTCAGCACGAACGCCAGCGCGACCGTCGTCTCCCCGACTTCCAGCCCGAGCCGCCGCACCGCGCCGGGCGCGAAAGTGTCGGACACCACCAGCCAGCGGCTCGCGTCGCGCGCGTCGGGGCCGCTGCGGAGCTCAATAAGTCCTGGGCCCGCCAGCTCGCGCCGCACCATGAGCTGGCTTATGCCGCCTGGCGCGCCGGCGCTTGCATCCGCTGCCACTGATTGCGGCGACCCTCCTGCATGGCCCGCCGTGCCGCCCGCCCCGGCCGCGCCGCCGGGCGGCTGGAGGGAGGCGGAGGCGTCCGTGATTGCGATGCAGCGCACGCGGCGCAGGAAGAGCAGCAGCGTGGGCCGCATGTCCTCGAGGCGGCGCCGCAGCGCCGCGGGGCCGCCCTGCAGGTCGGGCCGCAGGGGCAGGACGACAGTCGTGGCGCCGGCGCCGGGCGCGGCGGAGAGCCCCAGCTTGGAGAGCGTGAGCAGGCCTGCGGGTGGGTGTGTGGGTCAGAGTGAGCGCCTAGGAGGGTCTGAAAGGTAGAGGACCTGCAGGGTGCAGGCACCAGTCTATTTGGGCACGATATAGGGAGAAAACTGTGGTGAGAACGGGCACACAAGCTCCCCTGAGCTTGGTCAAAACGGTCAACCCCTTGGTCAACAGACCCGTGCGACTGGCGCGACTCCTGAACCCATTTGGCCCCTGCTCAATGTCTACCAGGGCAGCCGATCCCCTCGGCGCACCCACCTGCCACCTCGTTGCTTGGAGGCTCATTGGCAATGTCGGTCGGCAGCACATAACCAAGGTCAGGGTCACTTCGGGGGGGGGGGTAGGGGTAGGGGTGAGGGGATGAGGGATGCAGAGAGTCAGAGAGGCAGAGAGGCAGAGAGGCAGAGAGGCAGAGAGGCAGAGAGGCAGAGAAGCAGAGAGGCAGGCTGAGGTTCAGGATATTAGGGTGTGAAAGGAGCTGGCAACGGTCAAGTATGCAGGACAGGATGGTGGGGAGGGGTCCAAGGGAGGCGTTCAAGAAAGCAGCGCGGGAGGGGTTGTGGACGGCGTTTGCAGGGAGGGGGTCGGCTGCAGTGTGGAGTGTGAGCAGCATTAGGATATGCGGGTGGTGAAAATTTTGTAGCGAGGAGGGCTGAGGGTGTGAAAGACGGCAAATGGAGGGCTTGACTGCAGAGGCAAATTAAGGCGCAATACGATAGGAATTGGCCGACAAGGAGGCAAACCAAGGCAGCACACAGCCACAATGTTGTTGGCGGCGGCAAGCGGCAATGCACGTGCGTGCTTGCGTGAGCGGCCGCAGGCCGTCCCGCCGCTTGCGCTTGGCCGGGGCCCCGCCTCTCACCGCTCCAGGTCGAAGCGCACATGGTAGCCGGCACTGTGGACCTGCGCGGGCGCAAGGAGCCGCAGAGGGCCGAGTCAATACAACGCGCCTGGAACCCATCCTTGTTGCCCAAGCCAGGCAACGATTGAAGTCCTTCCTCCATAAAGTCTGGTGTTTGGAGCACAGCATGTGTTTGGCGTCCTTCAAATGAGATGAGGGCCAGGGTGAGCCAGAGGGCTGCCTCCCGCAACGGCAAGCGCCCGGCCCGCCAACCTCGGGGCGCGCCGAGATGCTGAACACGCTCTTGAAGCCGATCCCCTTGGCGCCTGGGGAGGCGGCAAATTAGGAGGACCGTGAGAGTCAACAGTGCCCAGCAGGGGTACACACGCAGACTCACGCTGCTGAATTTGAACAGGCATAAGCACAGGTGCGGGCAAAATCACCGCTGTCATGAGGCGGCCTGTGCAAATGCAAGTGGGCAAGGCGGCACAGCTGGAGTGGGGCATTGCGAGCGAATGAGCGTGCCATGCGCGCGGTGCTCGCGACGCGCCGGGCGCACCTGTGTAGCCCGTGACCCCGGCTTTGGTGGAGCGCCCCGCGTCGCACAGGGCGGCCATGTCTGTTGCAGAGTAGCCGACCTGCATGTGGTGCCGGGGGGGAAGCGTGCAGTTTGTAGGGACTAGGAGCCAGCTAGGCTAACGGGAACGATGCAATAGGAGGGCACTCAGTGGGCGGCATGCCTGTCTGCCGAAGCGGCAAGGATAAACAAGGAGCCGTTCGGAACAGAGGGCGTCCATGCAATGATGTCATGCAGTGTTGGGAAGTAGTAGGGAAGACGATCAGGCAACATCCCCTCCCTCTCAACACCGGCCTAACCGTTTCCCCCTGGGCCCCCCGGTGCACCTCGTTGCATGTGAGGACAATGGTGGTGGGCCCGAGCAGCAGCTCCATGGCCGGCATCACGCCCTCAGGGTAGCTGCCAGGAAGGTGCGAGCGTGCGGATGTAATTTGGGGTGGCAAAGCGCCAGTCAGTGGCATTGACTTCGTGGTTGCAACGCTAGGCGACTCAAAGCAAACGCCGACAAGTGGCAATCAAATTTGGAGCGACGGGCAGCACAGGTGCAGCTGCCAGGCAGGAGGCGGTCGGCAGGGAGAGGAGCAACAAAACAACAGCTGCACCGCAGCTAGCTAGGGCAGGAGAGCATCCCTATATCATAACGCATGTTGATGCGACCTACTTGCAGTCGTCTGAGTTCTGCGTGAGCTCAAGCACGAAGTGGGTCTGCTTAGAGTAGAGGTCCTGGGACAGGCGCTTGAGGGTGCGCCCGATCATCTGCCGCTGGTTCTCCGCCACCTGGCCGGCCTGCGGCGCGGCGCGCGGTTCGGGGGCATGTCAGACGCACGGGACTCACATATGGTGCGAGGTGTGGGATTGCGAGCCCCTTGGCTTGCCACAGGCGTGCTGGAGGAGTGCCGCAACGTGGCCGGTCAGAAGACACGTGAGCCCCGCCCAGCGGCCGCAATTCTGCGAGGCGTCACAGAGTGTGGTGCTGGCGTCAACCGCGCAGAGTTCGCTCCTGCTAGGCTCACGACCTGACCGGCCGCCGTCCCTCGCCCGCGCACCTCCCCCCGCATCTCAACGCCGATGCCATACAGCTCCCGCCTGATGCGCGCGACATGCTCGCGGCACGCCGCCTCGCGGCCGCCCGCCGCCACCACGACGGCGCCAGACGCCGCACCGCCGTCGGCTGCGCCGTTGCTGGCTTGCGGCGAGCCGCGCGCCACGGGAGTCGGGGTGCTGCTTTCGGGCACGGCCGCGCCCATGGTGGCGTGTGCTGTCGCGCTGTCAAGCACGCCGGCGTCAGGGCCGACGGATGGCCCCACCTCCGCTCCAGGTCCCGGTTCAAGCTTACGCCCTTGCTGCTGCTCCTGGCCCTCCGTGCCGCCCTCCCCGCCGTCCGCCGCGCTGCCACCACCACCACCACCACGCACGCTGCGCAGCAGCAGCGCCAGCGGATCCCTGCCAGCAGCGCCGACGCCGCTGGCTCCTGCACTGTCGCCGTCCTCCCGCGCGCCGCTGCGGCCATTGCCACTGGCGGCCGCAGCGCCCGCGAAGCTCCCGGCGGCCGCGCCACCCTGCTGCGATGCCGCCTCCATGCAAGACGCACGGCCAGCGCCGCCGCCGTCGCGCGCCGCGGCCGCCTCCGCCGCCGCGCAGCACGCGGCAAAGTCGTCCTGCCACTCCTCAACACCCAATGCAAACCCGAGCGCGTGCAGCAGCGGGCGCGCCGCGGGCAGGCCGACGTGAGTGCCGCCGCCGGCCCCGGCGGCTGCCGCTGCCTCCAGCAGCGCCCTGTGGCCCTCGGAGGCCCCGCCCAGCACCGAATCAAGCGGTTCCACCAGCGCCCTGCCGCCGAGCGCCGCCGCCAGCGGCGCCGGCAGCAGCCGCAGGCACGCGAGCACCGTTTCCGCCGCCGCGCGGCGCGCCGCGTGGCCGATGAGCACCCCCTGCTGGCCCGGTGCACCGCGCGCGCCGCCGCCGCCGGCCGAGCCACCGACTCCCAAGCTCTCGGCTGAGGCCTGGTCATGTGCGGCGGCGGCGGCGGCGCTGCCGCCGCCGTCATCTTGGCTCGCGTCGGCGCCGAGCGCCAGCAGCGCGGCGCGCATATGCGCGGCGATGAGCGCGAGGGGCGCCCTCGCCACGCCCCCTGCCTGGGCGACGAGCGCCAGCAGCTGGGATGTGGCGCCCCTCGCGTCGCCCTGCGGGTCGGTCACATCGCATATGGAGCTCGTCAAGTCTCTCAGGGCATCAAGTATCTGAGGCCACCTCATAGGACAGCAAGCCTTCGGGGTTGGAAGCAGCAGGCTGTGGCGACGCGTGTGCAGCCGCCGGGTGCTGCTGCCCTGCACCCTGCTGGCCTGCGGCAGCTTGTCAAGCGCCAGGCACCCGCCTACCGGCAAGGACCTTTTTGGGCCCAACACCTACGCTCGCCCTATCACTGGCCCACCCAGGCCAAACCCCAGCCCCCATTCCCACCTCCCAGGCCCCACCGCCGCCTGACCTTGATGAGCGACGAGACCAGCAGCTGCTCGTTGGCTTCCGCGGGCACCTTGATCAAGCAGCCGCCCGGCAGCTGCAGTGCTGCGATGCCGAGCCCAGGGCCATGCTCCGACAAAAAGTCGGGCAACGGCCCGCAGGCCGCGCCGAACAGGGCGCCCCAGCCGGTGGCAGCGGAAAGGTCAGCGAGAGCCGGCGCGGCGCGCAGCGCCGCCGCGGCCGCCGCGGCCATCGAGGGCGCCAGGATGTCAGCCGCGGCCGCGCGGGCGGCGGCGGGCGCCCAGAGCGGCCCGACGGACGCGGCCGAGCTGGCGCGGGCGTCGGCGGCGAGCGCGGCGGCACTGATGAGGGGGCCGGCGGCCGGGCCGCCGCCCGCGGCGGCGACCGATGCGGGGGATGCGGCCTGCGCCGCGGCGGTCGAGAGCAGCCGGCGCGCCGGCCCGAAGCCGAGTGCCTCGACGCAGGGGACGCTGTAGTGGCAGCACAGCGCGTCGCACACAGCCCCAAGCGACGCCGCATCCGCCCGGCTCGCCGCGGCAGCCGCAACTGCAGCGGTGCCGCCCGCCGCCTCGGCCGGCGCCGCCGCGTCCAGCGCCTGCAGCGCGACCCTCGCAACGCTCGCCCACTCAGCGCCTGCGCCGGTCGCACCGCCGCCACCGCCGCCACCGGGGCCGCCCCTGCTGGCACCCTGGCGGCCTGTGAGGGCCGCAGACAACGCGTCGTCACCCGCGAGCAGCTGCAGTAGAGAGGCCCCGGGCGGCGCGAGGCCGAGGGCGGCAAACGTCGGGGCGCGCCAGTGCTGCAAGATGGCGTCCTCCAGCGCGGCGAGCGCGTCGATGCCGCAGCCCTGCAGGGGGGGGGGGTGCACGATGGGATCAGGCAGCAGCAGTGAACGATCGATCAGAGGTTGCAGGTTGCATGCTGACCCGTTGATGGGTAGTGGTGACTACACCCCAGTACTAGAGGGACGCAAACCTTTGCTGACAGAATAACAACCTGTGACCCCCAAAGCACCCTCCATCTGCAACCTCATGGACTGTCTGCTGCCAGGGGCTTTATGTGAGTGCGTGGTCCGCCTGTAAACCAAGCAGGCCCTGCCTCCCCACCCACCGCATGCGCCTCCAGCATCATCGACCGCACGTCTTCCAGCGCCGCCCGCGGCCCCGCGGCCCCGCCCCACTCGCCGCCACCGGGCGCCGCGGCGGCCCCAGCACCGCCCTCCGGCCGCGGGCGGGGGCCGTGGGCGTCGTCGGCGGCCGCTTTGTACGCGCGCAGCAGCACCTGGGGCAGGGCATCCTCCCGCCAGTACCTCACCACCGCCTCCAGCCGCGGTGCAGGAAGGGCGCGCTCTGAGCATGCAGGCGCGCAAAAAAAACACCGCCGGGCCAGGGGGTAGGAGGAAGTTGCAGTGGTCGGAACGGCTTTCGCAGGTTGCTCCGATGCGCAGTCAGGGCTGAGAAGAGCAAGGCGTTGGCTGCGACACCCCAATCCACTCAGCCGTCCCCCAGCCGCGCCCGCACGCCCCTCAGCCGTGTGCGCCGCGTCGGGCTGCTCACGTGCCAAGCGCCGCACCAGCACCTCAGCTGCCCCCTTGAACAAGTCCAAGGCAGGGTTGCGGGACTGCGGCGGGCCGATCGCGCGGAGGGTAGGCACGCCACGCCACAACGCGCGGGCGTGGTAGGCGGCAGCGTGCAGGGGGACGAGGTGCCCGGGGGCCCAGCACAAAGTTCCAGGGGTGACCGCCACGCTGAATAGACCCTCCTCAATGGCTAACACGAGGCACACATTTGGGTCACATGCTCACACATGTGCACACAAACACCCACTCGAGCATGCAATAAGGGGGCCGTCTTGCAGCACGCAAGCACCGCGACCGTGACGGCGGCCGCGTGCCAGGCGCACCTGCGCTGACTGTAGGGTTTCCATCATCGGGCGCCACTCCTGGCTCAAAATCTCCAACAGATCCTCCCATGCGACACCGCCCTCCTCGCTGCCATCGTCGCTGCCATCCTCATCATCACTGCTGCTGCCGCTGCTGCTCGCGCTGCTTCTCTCGTCGCCGCTCGATCCGCTGCCCTCACTGCTGCTGCTGCCGCTACCGCTGCTGCTGTTGCTGCTACTGCCGCCGCTGCTGCTACTACTGCTGCCGCTCCCCTTGCCGGCCCCGAACCTCTCCTGCCGGCCCCCGCTGGCGCCAGCCCGCCCCGCAGGCCCCTCTCCATTGTCGGCCGCAACCGCCGCGGCGTGTGGGCGTGGCGTCAGGCCGAGGTCGGCGCGTGACAGCTGGCGGAGCCCAAGTGGCTCCAGGGCGTCGGCCAGGGCGCGGGTCGCGGATCCCTATGGGTGTGTCGGTGTTGCGGTGCAGCGGGCGCGGGCGGTGGTGAAGACGGCAGGCAGCGGGAGGGGCGAGTCGAGCCCGCTCCTCCAGGGGGCAGGCAGGCGTGAGCGTGAGGGCCCAAGGTCTGAGGTGCGTGTCAATGCCTGGGTTTCTAGGACAAGTGAGCGGCTCGCCATTCCGCAGACGGCTGCGTTGTGATGGATCATCCTCAAAATCTATCAAACAGAGGTGACCGGGCAAAATCGGCAGCCGGAGCTTCGACTGGGTGGCGCGGAGCGCCGGCGGTGTGCGGTTGAACGTCGATTCAGGCGCCCACCTGCCTCAGCCAAGCGGCCGCGTGTGTGTCTATAAGCTCCCGCATGCGAGCCTTTGCCGCGTCCCGCTCCCTCTGAACGTCTCGCTCCACAGTCCGCAGCATCTCGGCGCGCGCGGACTTGAGCGCCCGCGTCAGGTCCTCCGCGCGGATGCGGTCTGCGTCCAACGCGCGCTGCTCCGCTTCCCGCAGCTGGTTCGCCACGCGGCGCGACTTGGCGTGGGCGCGCGCAGTGCAGGGGAGGGCCAGGCAGGCGGTGGGGGAGCGGGAAGCAGCGGGCGGGCGGGACGGGTGTGGCAAGGGCTGGACGCGGTAGCGGTGCGCCTCGCCACCCCCGGGGTTTGCAGGGGAGACATGCTGTGGCGTACCAGACGGTGCGCGACGGCGGTGAGCAGGGGCTGCTCTCATGAGGGTGTGTGTGGCTTTCAAAGCGGCCGCCTGACTGTTGCGCAGCAGACGCACGAGACCACCGGCGGCGTGATGGCTGCGGGACAGCCAGCGAGTCTACGACGACCGGCCGGCGGCGGCGCTGGCTGCTTACCTGCCCAATGATGGCCCCGAGGCTCTTGACGAACAGCCCCAGGCCCGTGACGCGCACGCACAGGGCAAGGGGGTCGACGCCGCGCTTGGACGCCAGAGACGCAATGATGTCACGCGCCTGCGGGGCAAAGGGTTTAAGGGCGTGGCGAAGGCGGACGGGCGGTTGAGGTCAGGGATGACAGAATTGGGGTTGCATCAAGAGCCAGAAGTGTCATCATGCATGTCGGCGACAAAACAAGCACCCAGGGTCCAAGCACTCCCCCTCGCGTTTCGTCTAAGCGGACGCAGGGGCCCAAACGGTGCGGGCCAACGTGGCGCGAATGGCATCAGACGCAGTCGCGTGGGACGTCTGACAGGCACCCAGCGTAGGCCGCCCACCTCGACGCGCTTGGCGTTGGGGCCGTACGCGGGCCGCGTGTTGCGCAGCAGCTCCGCCATCTCAGTCACTACTTCCCCTGCGGTCACCTGCCGCCCGCGTGAAGTTTGCAGGTGTCAAAACCCAGCACACCCACCCCATGAGCGACAACCTCTCCGCAAGCACCGACGTCAACGCCAACCCCACCCATCCAGCAACCCCCACTGCCCCGCCTCGGGCTGCCCGCCCGCCCCCACCCTGCGGGCCCCACCTTGGGCACGGCGTCGAGCACCGGCGGCGGCGCGAAATTCGATATGACCAGCGGCTGCTTGAGCAGCGGGCCGAGCTCCAGGGAGGCAAACGAAGGCACCTGGCAGGGAGCAGGGGGTCGAAAACGCGTCGCAGCCGGACGAGGGGGAGAGCGGGCAGTGAAAGAGGAGACGCAGGGCAGGGTGCACACAAGGGTTGAGGCGCGCGGCAAGCGGAAGAGGGGCTCAAAGGAGGGAACGCGGCGGGATGTGGGACCTGGCGCGAGGCAGGGGGCTTGGCGGGGGCGTCGGGCGGTCCTCACCCTCTCTTGCTCGCATATGTATGCCTCAAGGTCATGCAGGGTGGCGACAGGGCTGACGGCCAGGAAGACTGGCGAAATTAAAGAGGCAGAAAGGCGCGCGTGTGGGGTGGGCGCGTAGCGAACGCGAGACGCGGGTTTGGGGTGGCGGTGTGCCGAGGTGGGGGCGGAGCGTCGGGGGTGAGGGGGAGGTGAGGGTGCTGATGTGGACGGCGCGGGAACCACGGGGACGGGGCGCAGTGCCCAGGGGGAGTGACACAAAACAGGAACAACCCAAGTGGTGCGGCTATCTTTTGCTGTCCCAGACCTCGGCACACTGCAAGACCCTCTGCCATTGGGTGGTGGACCTTGCGCACGTGATCTCAAGCCGATGCGTCCTGTCACGCCTTGTTCTGATTTCGAGGCGTGACAGGAGGCACGCCCGCTCCTCCCAGGCACCACCACCTCCTCCCAGGCACCACCCCCCAGGCACCACCACCACCCCCCAGGCACCACCACCCTAGGCGCTGCGGCTCCCTCGCCCCGCCACCGCGGCTGCCGTGGCGGCCACGACCCGGCCCATGTCGCCCCGCGACGCTCACGGCTGGTGTAGACGTGCACCGCCGATTCCAGATCCACGAGCCGCCGGATAGCTGGGAGCTCCCTGGGCTGCCGGGCGCCCGCGACACGCAGCTCGGCCCACGAAGGGGCGCCCACCTGGCATGTCGGAGTGTGCAGGTGTTTGCGATCGTCCACGGCAGGTGAGTGAAGGGAGCGGAGGCAGCAGGACATGCAGGGTCGAGGCGTGACGCGGCGAGAGCCCGGGGGCGAGGGAGAGCCTGGCGTTGTGCAGGTGGGAGGAGAGGAATCCGGGTCCCGAGCGTTAAGGATGCGCCGTTGCTGCAGATGGCAGCAGCTACCAGGACTTGTGTGGAAAAAGCTCCGCGCGCCGCGGCGTTGCAGTTGCAATGCAGTTGTGGGGCGTTGCCCGCCCACCTGCCGCAGCACCGCCATGACCACGCTCCCGCAGCTGACGGCCCGGCCGGCCACGTGCTCCTGCCGCCGCGCGTGCGCCACTAGCTGCTCTGCCTGCTGCTGCGTGAGCCCGCCGGGCTGCGCGGCTGGCGGGCGCGGCGGGGGCTGTGGGGGGGCTGCTGGCTGGGGCTGCCGACCGAGGCCAGGTGGCTGGGGCTGCATCGGAGGCTGTCGGGGCGGCGGCGGCGGCTGCTGCTGCTGTTGCTGCGAGGGCTGCTGTGGCTGCGACGTCGTGGGTTGAGGATAAGGGATGGCCGCAGCAGCTTCAGGCTGATGCGGCCCGCCTGCGCCGCCACGTGGGCCGCGCAGGCCTTCGATGCGCGGCTTCTTTGAGGCGGGAGCCTCGTGTTGTTTGGGCGGCATACTCTCAGCCGCTGCTAGGTGGTTGGCAGCGTCGCTGCGAGGACGCCGCGGGGGGCACTGCGGCACTAATGCACTTGCTGAACACTGTGCGGCGCGCTACCGCTTCGTAAGCGGCTGGGTGGGCTCGGGAAGGGTAAGGCCTAGCAAAGCGCAAAAATCTCTAGCGCCTTTTTCACTTGACGATCCTACGATATATTGTACCGCAGTCGCTCAGTCGCGTGGCTTCTGCAGTCAGCAGTGCCACTCACGGACGACGGGGTTGTCAGGGCTTTGAGGAAGATTCAGAGTATGTAACCTCATAAAACTTGAATGCGACCAGCAATTATCCTTGATAGTGGCAGATCTCGGCGACAGGACTGTGTGATCTGTGCGTCATTGCTTATCAATGCTATGTATACCGTTTAGAGGTGGGTGTAATATTTCGGACTGACTCTTTCCTGGCTCAAGCCCTGGTCGCATGTTCGCTGCGCGGGGGTTGCGGTATGCCTGGTGCTTGCTGCTTTGACCGGTCTGGCCGGGATTGGTGATCAGTGCAAGCTCCAACCCCATCATCAACTTCAACCCCGTTATATCAAACTGTTGTGCAGTTGCGTCCTTGCCATGCACGGGCCTCAAAAAATGCCAGGCCTTCGTACCAAAGGGGGGCCTCGAGCTGCAGGAGTCACCAAAGGTTTCTTCCAGCTGTGTGTTTTGGATGCCAACACCCACAAATCCGCCTGGTTCTAGCCCCTGATTTCTGATTCATGCTTATTGTACAGTTGCATGCCTTTTGGCAACCAAGTTGCATCCACCAACTCCCCAGGGAGACAGCAGATGGTGGCACTCAAACAGCCTTCGGCGGTACGTGGTGCCCATGCACGCAGCATGGGCTGCATGGCAGCAGCGCTCCAGGACGCACAAGGACGTGATGAG